TGAATTTAATTCAGGACAATGTGATCGCTAGAAGTTTCACAGTAGAGTTTAGTTGGAGGAGGCAAATTCTCAGTTTTTTCTCTATTCTCTTCTTCCGACAATGATTTACTGAAACAAAAACCTGTCAATGATCTGAATGTCTTTAATTTTTCATCTAGGGCAGAAGGGCTCCATCTGATCGGCCAAATATATCAACATGCAGAGCGTGAATGTGTGGTGCATGGATCATCATTTCTCGCAGTTTTATATAGCAATGACGATAGATTTTCAATATATCGTGCAGCTCTATGCTATACATTTAAAGACTGACAGAGAGACAATACTCACCAGCCTGCCGTTTCCTGAGTGTGACATAAGGCAAAAGGTCGTGGCGGGTGATAATCCTTAGAAGCTGGAGAACGTGCCGGAAGTTGGTCTCATCACAGCGACCCTGGCGCTCTAGGGCCAGCAGAAAGTCCCTTCCACTCCTGATGCCACCACGCTCATACTCATCAATCACGTCAACAAACAGGAATGACAGTACCCTCACATCCCGATGTGTTAGCTGGGCTCCAACTATGTCAAACATGCGGTGAAGTGAGTACAGCCCATGGGAGTTATCCACTGCTTCCTCCGGCCACGGTTCAAAACCCCCATCTCTTCGGGATAAGCTAGAGTTGGTGCTGGATGCAGAAACATTCCTGCTGGCAACATCTCCACTGGACGTTGACACACCGGAGCACCCCGGCCTGCCAGTCAGTGCTCTGTGTTCCAGAGACCCAGCATTTGGACTGCTATGACTCGAGTGCAGCTGATTGGCCGGAAGATGAGGCCGGGCCTGCTGTGCAGATGAGTTCTGGGCAAGCTGGGGAGGATAAACAGCATTGGGGAGCTGAGGCTGCTGTGATGTCATCTCAGGGCCAGACGGTGATAAGGGATGCTGGAATCCCTGCAACTCCCTCTGTCTTTCTCTGCTCCAACTGATAACTAAAAAGGTAGAATGGGGGAATTACATATTAATATACAATATTTTTAAAACAATCTTACTATCAGTGGCCATCATCAGTAATCAATAACTAACTACATGATATAACTTCAAACTGTTGAGGAATTTTTGACCATCCTCACACATTACTGTATATGCCACTGTATAGTATATTACATTATATCTGTGCAGGAGAAGAGTGCCTGTCTAATTCCAGATACTCCCTTCTCTCTCTAAGCAGTACACAAGGTCATAGAAGTATGTAAGGTTATAGATAAAGGACCAACCAACAGTACATTGTAGTGTCTACGCTCAGGGACTTTCATATCTATCTCAGATGCCCCAGACAGAGAGGCACCAACTTCAACTCTCACCAACTTCAATGTGATTTAGGATGTGAACACCTACATGTAACATAGAGAGTGACAGCAATTCTAGGCTTTCATGGATGTGCTGTTAGAAAATGTCAGAAATCCTGACATTTTCACATATTTAATGAAAGAGGCAGATGTTAGTAGGGAAGAATTTGTAAACCAGCAGGTGTTTACACATATGCTGTAGATTGTGTACATACCTTTAATATTTCTGGGTGTTTAAGGCCATTGCGGGCAATGCTGCAAATCAATGAACAGGACTGTTTACGTAAATTAGCATTAATGTGATGAAGTACTTCCACTTGTCACCCATCTAACACAAATAGAAGTCATATTGCAAAACAGCATACCACTAACAACTTTATTTCAAATCACCAGCAGTGTCAGATATTGATCTCGCATTAAAACTGAGTTGGGAATAAGTTCTGTCATACACATATGATTGTTTTCCTGTGACTTATAGCTTAAGGTAAGTGAACAATGCATTTAGTTCCCCAAACTGCTTCACCAACTTCCCTCACATCATCGTTAGTTGCTAGACATGTGTGGTGGTTACATACACCTCACTGCTTTGTAAGTGGGCAGTAGACTGCTTTCTGGGAAAAAAAAATTCCAATTTCTTTGTAGCTGTACAATGCTTAATCAGAAAGACACAATGACAGCCTCATGCAGTGATGGTGAAAAACCTGAACTTTCAAAAACCAATAAAAAAAAGTTTGCGCTGTAGAAATCTGCCATAGTGAAACTCAGTTAAACCAGAACCACTTTAGTTATCTTGAGCTGTATCTGCAAATATCCAACCCAAAACCCTGAGTCCCTCATTCACTACTCTCCATACCACAGATACTTAAAAGTACCCTACACAGTGAACTAAAAATTGATATTTCAGATATTTAAGAACCAATGCATTTTTTCCTCACTGTCAGGTGTAATGTTGCATTGCAATGTGCTGCAGTTTGGGAATGTTAGCAGAAAAGAGTGTATAGATGGGTGCAAAGGATACTGATTTGTTCTGTTTCCATTCCTCTAGGAAAACGAACGAGTGTAGGCAAATATAATGCACTAAAAAATAAGTGGGCGTGATATTAAACACAGTGATACACACAACGATATGAATAACAATTAAAAATGAATGATGTCACACTGGTTACTCTTTTCTTGACGTAATTGAGGGAGCGAAATGCTACAGAAGAGCAGCACAAGAATAAACGAGCAGGACAGAAACTGAATTAGTAAAATGTTGCATCTATTTTAATGTAAACATCGTAAAATGACAGTTATGAACACGAGAGATCACAATCATGACTCGCCTCTATCATTATGTGTCAGTTTGGACAAGCTCATCATAACGCTAGCAGAGGCTAATTTGGCTAACTGGAACTGTGTTTACATAAAAAGATTGGACAGGTTTTTATATTAACGCTGTTGCTATTAAAACGTCTCGGACACTTTTCACTGAAGGCCAAACAAAGAAATACACTATGTGATCGGCAGCTGTTTAGCAAGATAAATAACGTGCTAGCAACTAGCTAGGTGCCTTACTGAAGTTAGCTGACACGCTAACGACAGCTATCTGGAAAGCAAATCGTGTGTGATCGCTAGACAACAATGTATGAAAGTGGACTCACATCCCTGATTATCTGTTTGCGACTAAACAGCCAAGAAAGTGTGTCCGGGGATATGCGCTCAACAATTCACCTCTCTCCATGATCTGCGCCGAGGTTTGTTATGACTGCTACTCGCTAGCTTCAGACCGAGCCAACGTTATCTAAACCCCTTATTGAAACGCAGTATAGCAGGAAATCTAAATGAGATGTATGTGGTGATCTAATGATGACTCTGTGTTACCTTGTGTCTTTCGGAAATCCCAGACGAGCTCGTCACCAACAAAGTTCGGTAGGCCGCTAACGCTAAGTTATCTCCCCAGTGTCTGGCAGAGGAGCACAGGAAACACGGCACCTTCTAAATGTCGACAAAACCATCCGCGTTCATTCCGTGCCTCCGGTGTCTTGGCGGACACTTGTCCTTTCTGACGCGAAACTGGAGCGTGTGTAATGGTTGTGGTGCACACACAGTCACCATGGGAAAAACAAGCAGACAATTCTCGTTCAGCTAAAATGAAAGAACTTCCAGTTTACAGCAGAGTTCACTTCCGGGTAACCCAGTACGGTGGCCCATGTGGACAAAAGCGTAGGGGATTTAAAGTACAAAAATGAAGTGCGACGTCTATAAACCATTTTTGTGGACTTCTTCTTTAAAGTTATTTTATTCGTGTATACCAATGAAACCATTTCCATCAGTTGTAAGGTACCTCCCTATGATTGGACTTAATACAACATCCACCAGTGCTGTCCCGCCTACTCATGTTCATTTATTTTCTGACCAATCAAATTACATTAGCACTTTAAAGGTAGGTTTCATATTTTGGTGAAAGAGATATAATAATTCAAATTATGGATGACAATTGTTTTTAAAGATTGCAAGTCAAATGTCTATTGCTATCCGATTCGCAAAGTGTTAATTAAACTGTAAAATTGTTTGTACCTGTGTTCTTGTATTGATGAATGCCATGTCCTTTTAAGTTCTCAAGAAGCCATAAAGTGAAAGTAGTTGTAAGGTGGAACAGTAAAACAGAGAATGGGTTTTGGAGCTAGAGGGCATCATCAACCCTGATTGAGATCTCCAGTCAGTTGGGCATGGGAAATGAACCTTTTATATTTAGTAATCATTGAATTGATTGTGATTGAGATGTCCTGGATTTTTCTCTTTTCTGTTTGAGATGAGAGTCAGCTGACTGTCAACTGAGAGTTCACATTAAAGAGCTGTTGTGCTGAGAAGGGCATGAATAACACTTGACTGTCAGAATCAAGCACCATGAGGTCAACAGCTTTTGTTATATGGTTTTCCTTAAGGTAAATGAGGAAAGACACTCTGATCATCCCCTCAGAGAACAACCGTGCTCTCCCCATGCAATATTAAGTAAAGACATTTGACACACCACACCGTGTCTGTAGGAGTTCAGAAAGAATTTGAATTAGTGTTTGTGATGTGGTCATGAGTCTGTGTGCAGTGGAGCCTGTTATCTGCCCCACTTAAAGATGATGCCAAGCATAACAGGCAGCTTGTAACATTTTTAGTATTCTGGAATACACCTGAATGATAACAAATGGGAATTATTGGCAGATATTCGCTGAAAGAGAGGTGGGTGTATTGCTTGTTTTCTTAGTTCGTTTTAATGGTTTATTGTTAAGTCCATGTATTTCAGGTACTGTTCAGTGTATAGTCGAGTCCAGGGTAGTTTATTATGGCTTCTTGTAAAATAAAACAAAAAGAAAATAGAGAATAGAATGATTCCCCTTTTCTGGTGTGTTGTCTCACTAAACTCTATAGCTGAGGCATTCTACTCAAGATACAAATCGTATTTTGCCCCTGTTACTGCAGGCTTGCTCATACTTTTAGTTTTTACTCCGGTCACAGAGGGGAATCAAATAATCAAAAATGTACATATATCCAAAAGAGGGCTAGGAATTTCTCCATTTACCACAATGACATAATGATAATGGTATTTATCAAGTAAATCATGTCAGAAATAGAAGAATTTAGATTATCCAAATAAAAATGAAGTGACATGTTTAAGGTCAGAATGTCGTTTATTTCCAGTGACAGCTGTAATTTGTTAGAAACAGAGCATGAAACCATGTGTTCTAATGTTTTGTCTGTCTCATTACCAGGGTCCAACTCTAAATAAAACTTTTTGAAGAAGATCTGCTACTGATGAAACCTTGTGAATAAAGTGGATTTCCTCGACCTTTGGGAAAATGGGCCAGTTGTTCAATTTCGAAAGATCAGAGAGAAAGCACGCTCCACCGGATTGGATTTGTGCTGACTTGATCACGGTGTGCCCAGTAGATGGCGATAATGCCGCTGTTGAGCCTCAGTTGAACCGAGAGCAGAAGAAGATCGCGAAGCAGAGGAAGTGGAGCAGCGCTAGCTCCGATCCTATAATCGATCGCCATGTACTCTTAGAAGCAAAACAAAGCCCAGAACTAGCATCCTGCTCCAGCACGGGCTCTTGAAGATGGCCGGCGAGGAGGAGAGAGGGGTGGTCCGTGTCAGAGTCAAGGTAGGACGGTCCACCAGTCCACCGCCGTCAGCTGGTCACGTAGAGAGCCCGCTGTGCTGTTTATCCGCCTGCCTGTTGTCTGTCTGCTCACAACACACCGCAGTGATCCACACACACTGGCAAGGGAATACTGCTGTTAACGAGAACAAGACGACATGACAGTTTGCTGTTGTGTTCACCGACATTATCGGAGTTGTCGCTACAATCTGAACTCTCTCTTGCTGTGTTTGGCTCGGTGATTTCACGGCGGGTACCTGACACTGTCAGATCGATCATTGTCAATATCCCAGCAGTGAACACGTATGCACGCGCAAGCACCGGAGCTGACGTCACCTGCATACTCAGCAGACGCGTGCACGGGACAGCACGTAGTGACGTCACGCATTACCTGATGTCAGAGGCATGGTGAGGTCAGGCTCAGGGTTGACGTTCAGCTGCTTCACTATATGTGGTAGTTCGGTTTAAAACACATGTGACGTGACAGAAGACAAACTACACACAATCTGGTTTCTTGTTTTCAACCACTCGGCACCGAGGTAGAAGACGTAGCTCCACATGGGTTTTATTATTGAGACATAAAGTAGCTGCTCTAAAAATGATTGAACATTTTTTTTGTTATTGGAACATACATAAAATACATTGAAAAAAACACTCACAGGGAACACATATTTAAAGACAAACACAATTTAAATGTTGTCAAACATAAGAAAGTTGGATGTTTAGATAAATATAAGAAATGAGATGTAAGAAACCCACTAAACCCACTAAAAATAATGCTCAGGAACAGAGGAAGCCCACCTTTCTAAAGTCCAGTGCAGGCTCTGGTTCTGCATCAGTGTCAGGTTGATGGTCTCAGATAGACGACCTCCCTCAAACAAAACTAAATTGCTCCTCATCTGTTATGTCTGTCAGCTCCAGTGTTCCCTGTTCCTTGAGATGGTCGGTCTGATATCTGAGAAGCGACTGAAATACTTAAAGGACTTAAAGGTTCAGTGTGTATTTACAACAATAAAAACCCGCGTATGATTATAAACTGCCACAAACTGGATCTCCAAAAGAAGGGACATATTACTGTATAGGGGTGACTACACGAAAGTGATGCTGCTGCATGAGGCTATTCGCAGAAATTAGCTCCACAGGTAGAGACGTGAACCCTCCCTTCTGTCAGAGCCTTCAGTCAGCTCCTCTATCAGCTGTATTTGATTCACTACCTGAAACTTTGAGTGCATCAAACACCGAATATTCATGAATAACTCTCAAACGGCCAGTAACAGACTTTGTTAAATCCATATCATTTGACTTGACACATTATCCTGCTCTCTGAGCCAACAGGCAGACTTTGCTAAATTATCCATCCATTATTATAACTATGCACTTCATAACGAATGAGACCTTATGGAACTCCTCATTAGATCTCATTCATTCATACTGCTTTCTAAATGTGTATTGTATAATATAGATGTGCTGGACAACAGAAAATCACTCCAACATCACTGGCATGTAATGAAGCTAAAACAGTAGAACACATCTTGTTGCTTCGCACATGTATTTGGTGTTTTCATATCCTGATAACAATCACGTCTTTCCTAGTGTAATTATAATCAAACACAGCCTTATGTAGATTAACATCATTTTACTGGCTTGGACTATTGAAGGATACTGTTGTGCCACAGCCTGCTTCATAACAAATGGAGGTACTGATCACTCATGGGGTGAAAAACCTTAAAAACATGTTGACAGTAAGGTGGTGTTGTGAAGTTGTAAAAAACAAAAACATTGTAATGCATCAGTTCTTTCCAAGAAACAACATTTCTTCCACAACACCATCATCATGTTGAACTCTATAACCCAGCACTAGCTCACTCCCCTCACTTCCCTTCATATTCATGGGCTTACACTGCTTTTTTGCACATATTTATTATGTCACACTCAATACCTACTTCAGGTCTCAGGCCCCCTCACCTGTCTTGCACATGATATTTACTCATCACCTCCTTCCTCAGTATTTTGGTCAATGATGATATTTTAGAGTTTTGTAATGCTTTTCAGAAATGTGATGGCGTGCTTCCAGTGGAGTTTCGGTCCTTTGCTGTTGATCCTCAGATAACATCACTGGAGGTTCTGCAGCACATTCTCATCAGAGCCTTTGATTTGAATGGGTAAGAGTGATGGTCACTCTGACTAAACTGAGACACAAATATTATCAGACTTTGTCACAGCAAGTTTAACAATATTTTTGTCGGCATTTCCTTTTGTTCTTCTCTCAAACTAGGAAGCGGACCTTTGGGATCAGTTACCTGTGTCGAGATAGGAGCGGTGCTGAAATGTATCAGTCTCTGGCGTCAGACTGGGATTTGGATGTTGCATTTGTCAGTGCAGCCAAACCGTACCTACAGCTCAAGATGGACGTAAAACCTTCAGAAGACAGTGAGAACACCTGTGTTTCCTTACACCAAATGACACAACCTGAAAGTATGAATATACTAAGCAAAATGTGATGTCTTCCGACAATTGTCATCACGTACATAATGTTTAAACATAAACTGTAAAAGACTTTGATCAATGAGTTAAGTGTTCCTCAAGTGGTTCACATTTTAAAAAGGCAGCAGATAGTTTAGATGGTAATCAAGTTGAGACATAATATACTACATGATAAGAAATTATTTGGAATATGTTGGAATATATTAGTTATTGAGGGTCACTTCTTTATTTTCCATAAGTGATCTTTTGCTGTACTGGTCTGAAGCTGCAGCTGGCAGGAGCTTATGGAGTCATTAAAAGTGAAACCATGTTTCAAGAGATGAAGGAACCACTGCACTGTCAACAAGTGCATTGAAAGGGGTGCATCAGAAGAGAAGAGTGTAGTTCCTTGAAGGAAAATGAGAATCAGAAAAGGGAACTCTAGATAGCGCCAAGAGAAATGTGGATTTTGGATCAGGAGAATCGTATCTGAATGTTGGCTGCCCAGGAGTTAGAGAGAGAAATTTTGCAAAGCAAACTCAGGTTTAAATTTTTGTCACTGTTCAGAATAATAGATTAAGGGACTGTGAGGGTTGAAAAAGTGGGGGATTTTTGAGATTTCCACAAAAACTGTGGATTTGTCTCTCATCACCTCCAGGGAAAGTGCATTAGCAAGAGATCTCTTTAATGTACAAAACACCCATGCACAGCAGTAGTCCAGAACTGATGACATAAAGACACAAGAATGGTCCTTTAGTCTATGGAAGCTCAAATAGAGCTAACAAACTGACAGACACTTGTTTGTACATTACAGTCAAACCAGATGCCAAGATTCCCGGCAGCTGACTTGATTTGTTCCACTGTGGAACCAGCAGAGGGCAAAATTAATTTTGCCATGTGCTGGGATCTTTTGAGAAGTTTTATTTGTTTTACTTGAGTTTAGCTGAAGATAATATTTAGACATCCATTTAGGTCTTAGATCAGCAGTCCACATAAAGCTGACATGAAGCAAACTGTTTTTTGTTCAACCACAGGTCCTGTAATGGAGGACTGGGACATCATAAGCCCTAAAGACGTGATTGGCTCTGAGCAGCTTCTTGGAGAAAGGACGAGGTCTCTGGCATCCGCCGCTCTTCCTTTCACTCAGTCTCTACTGTCCCAGGTTTCTTCACCTTCTTTAAGCTTCCTCATGTAGTCTTTTTTAAAAGTACCCTCTTTGCTAATGTGCTTTTTTTTTCACTGGCGTTCAGATGGGCCGGACCTTGTCTAAAGTCCAGCAAGCTTTGAGCTGGTCTTATGGGGAGGAGATCAAGCCTTTCAAGCCTCCTCTCAGTGATGGTGAGTTTCACAGTTACCTCAATGGTCAGGGCCAATTGACACGACCCGAGGAACTCAGACTGCGAATCTATCATGGTGGTGTGGAGCCTTCACTGCGCAAGGTGAGATTCATCTACAGCATGCTCTCCAGACAATCATGGTTGGATGTCAGTGGAATTGAATTGATTATGTTTTCCATTCATCAGTCTGGTTCTTTTTTATCCCTTTTCCATTAAAGTCAACATTGCACTAGTGTTAATTCTGAGTTGGTTCAACCTTTTAAGAACCAGTTTGCTTTTCCATGTTGCTAGAGTCGCCTCAGATATATATATATAAATAAATTCATATATGTAAATTCATATATATATTCAATCAGTGAGTCCAACCTGACTCTGCTTACTCACTTTTCCTTCTGTCTCCCCTCTCACGCTGACACACAAACACAGACTTAGCTGACATCTCGGACCCACTGCAGATTAAACTTTGATTTGGTTGTTACTACTGCCACATTATCAACACTGATCACCAGATAATGATCAATACTTTTATTACTTTTGATTACAATCTTTCTTCATAGCTGCGCGCATTCATTCTTTTATTTATACGGCCCTGGAACTACCTTGGTGGGAAAGGGGTTATTAAAACCCAGTAGTTGTGGTTCTTCACATAGTATATCATCAAAGAATTCAGATTTGTTTTTTAGTCATTTGTCATAAATGATGATGTAGTTTGTGATAATAATAAACTGGCTTCTTCTCTAAAAACCTTAAATATGTTTTGCTTGTGCCTCATGCACACCTATAATACAAAAATGTAATTCATGTTGACATGATAAATCATGCATTTAAATTTTAAATAATTTAACAGGTCATTTTTCGAGTAATTTAAGAAATAATTGCTGTATTGTCCGCTGTGGTGTAAGGTTGTGTGGCGGTACCTCCTGAATGTGTACCCTGATGGACTGAGTGGACAGGAAAGAATGGACTACATGAAGAGAAAGACAAGGGAGTATGACCAGCTGAAGAGAGAGTGGACAGCCCGGGTCAGTCATGAGGATCTTGAATTTATTCGAGGAAATGTTCTCAAAGACGTCCTGAGAACGGACCGGGCTCATCCGTACTACGCTGGCTCAGAAGACAGTCCACATCTGACTGCACTTACAGACCTGCTCACCACGTTTGCCATCACACATCCACAGGTTGGTAGAGAGGGTTGTGGTGGGGGATGGTGGCCGACAGCATTGTAGGATTCAACCCTTCACCTAACCTTAGCATTTACAAACTGAAGTGAAAAATAAGTAACACTTAAGACACAACAGTAGAACCCACATGGTGTGAACAACCTGTAACTCAGGCCTGTAAATGAGACGAGCAGAAGAAGATAAAATTCGTTCTTACTTTGTTTAGCCCCAAATCACAACATAAATGGTCTCAAGGCACTTTAAATAGTAAAATCAATAACGTACAATATTATAGAGAATCCCAACTGTACCCACAAGGAGCAAGCACTTGATCTCCACATACAACTGAGGCCATCAGTGACTGATCAATCAGAGTGCATGCATGATAAATGAGGCCCATGGTTTACTCTCTTAATGAATAATACTTCCCATAATTTGCAAGCTAATTTCATACATAAAAGCATGTGTATATCTACATGATTTTATAATCTATTTTTTTTCTTAACTGACTTGCATAACCCTGTGTGAATGTCTTGTTTTTCAGATCTCATACTGTCAAGGCATGAGCGATATCGCCTCCCCTATACTTGCAGTAATGGACAATGAGGCGCATGCCTTCATTTGCTTTTGTGGCATAATGAAGCGTTTGGAGGGAAACTTCCGTCCAGATGGGCAACTAATGTCTATCAAATTCCAGCATTTAAAGCTGCTTCTGCAGTACTCGGATCCTGAATTTTACTCTTACCTGGTGTCCCGAGGAGCTGACGACCTCTTCTTCTGCTACCGCTGGCTGCTTTTGGAGCTCAAGAGAGAATTTGCGTTTGATGATGCTTTGCGGATGCTTGAGGTCACCTGGAGCTCCCTTCCTCCGGATCCGCCTGAAACCGAAGTGGAGCTTCTCGGACTGCCACTGGACACTGATGAAACTGTGACCTACAAAGAAAAGACAATTGAGACCTGCCTCAGAGATGATAATGAACAAAAAGAGAAGCAGCGGAGGAGACATATGTTGAGGCCTTCAAGAGAAGAAACAGATGCGAGCAGGAATGCCGTCATAGAACAAAAAGAGAGGCAAAATGTTGGTGCTGGAACAGGAAGTGATGGCAGTGATTGTGATATTAATCAAGTAAGTCTGGTAAAGGCAGATTGTCAGGCTCCTTTTGAGAAGCAAACAAGTTTTGGAGAGTTTAAATACTATACTGCCAGAAATGAAGATAGCTTTGATATGGAAGATGGTGACCAACCACAGGGTGTGGCTGTTTCAAAGTCGGTACTGAACATCTCAAGTCGCCAGTCCACAGTTGATAGTGAGGAGGATCCAGAAGAGAGAACACCTCTCATAAAAAACTGTGAAATTGGTTTCTCTCCAATATCATCACCTCACCTCTTTCCTAGTGGCCTACCTATTTGGAAAAGTGGCTCCTCTGTGTCTCCGACATCTTCAGTTTCCCCCTCCAGCTGGCCAGGAGCGTCTCCAGACTCTCCTCCAAGGTCCACATCCCCATCCCCATCCACAAACAATGGAAGAGAGGCCTTACCAAGCACTGTTCCAAAAATATTGACCTCCTCCGCCCAAGTGCTCAGCAATACAGGAATCAACTCACCCACAACCCCCACTGTAAAACCATCTATTGCATCTCCCTCCCACCCTCAGAATCGATCCCTTCTCTCTTCACCTATTTTGTCCTTTGGGAGAGGTCCCTCGTTGTCTGGCAGCAGGTCATCCACCAACAATCTTCCTTCACCCGGAAACAAATCTCCCAGCACCGCAGCTAACACACCCAGTTCTCTGAAAGCTGAGACCACCAGCATCAAATCGTGTTCGCTGCCGCCTCCGCAAGAGTTCGGCAAAGGCAATCCCTTCATGCTGTTTCTATGCCTGTCCATCCTGCTGGAGCACCGAGACCACATAATCAAGAACAGCTTGGATTACAATGAGTTAGCCATGCACTTTGATCGGCTAGTGCGGCGCCACAACCTTAGCAGGGTGCTGCAGCGAGCCAAGGCCTTATTTGCAGACTACTTGCAGAGTGAAGTGTGGGACTCAGAGGAAGGAGATGAGGTTAGCTCCGACTCCCCAACAACAATTACCGCTGTGCAACATTCCCCTTCTTCAACCATCTCTGCCAGGCCCATTTATAGCCCTTTAGCATCGCCTCAGTCATCATTTCAAAACTCAACCTATAACCTCACAACCACCATTCCCTCCCCAACAGCTCAAGTTTCCCTTTCCTCTGCTTCCTGATTCCATCATGCAACAATTGATTCCCATCCTCAGCGAAAGACTGATTGTGGCCTGTTGGAGGTGTCCACCTTTTTAGCCAGCCTTCCTAATTGAATTGGGCTGTTAATAATCTTCTCATTCTGTGTATGCTTGAATATGTATTTATATTGCTTTTGTCAGTTTGATGAAAGAGTTTCATTTCTTTTCATGTCCTCTGTTGTTGCTGATGCATGACGTTTAAACCCTGTGATTCAGGTGTCAGATTGTGGGGCTGTCTCTTATTGGTTCTGGCAAAACTCAGTTTAGCCACATGGTGCATTTAACCTGAGTTGCCCTCTTTTTTAAACTTTGTTTACAAACTTATATTATGTCCAATAAGCCACAAAAGTGTCTTAACTAAAACACTTGTGTTACTTTAGTTAAAATCAAAAGGGAATTCCACACTCTGATGTATCGAAAGTAAAGGTTTGAATTGTTCTTATTCATAAGGACTTTTACAGAAATGACTCCTCTTAATAACCAAGCTCTAATTCTTAAGTGAGTAACAAAATAAACTGATGACATAAATAGCCAGCACACATACTTAACCTCACCCTTTCTGACTGAGCCCTGTCTCCATTTGCTTTTCTTCTGTCTGTTTGTCTATTTGATAAAACAAAGATGATGATGTCAGAGTGATCGTCATCGGGGTCATCTCAGCTTGGAGCCTTTATAACAACTTTGGGTTGCAGCTAGAATCACACAAGAATGCATGAGTCCAACAAAGATCCTATTGAACTGCATTATGGGAAATGCATGGCTCAGATAGTAACTAAAATCATGGTTTCCACTACTGCTTCATTTTTACCAATGTTATTCAAGCTCCTTCTCTTTTTTTGTCCCTGAACTTTTTGTACCTGAAAATACAAACTCATTCTCTGGAGCATTAATTCCAGTGTCTGCTGGATTTCTACTTTTACTCTTCCCAAGTGCTGTTGCATGTGGATGTGATAAGATAGTGAGAGACCAGGCCCTTCCCATTGATACCACTCTACTCTAGATGAGCCAAAATTAATGAATATGTCTTTCAGCCTTTGGTCATCTTGTGCCATGAGCTGGATAATCATTCATAATGTGTGCTAATAAAAAAATCTTACTGCTTCTGTGAAACAACAGGGGATGGCAGATGATGTACAGAACACATGTGGCTGAGGTGGGGGGGGGAGATAATTTTTACACTATAATTTTCTTTTTCTTTTTCTCAATTTTAAATGGGACTCAGCCAATAACAGTCATATCCAGGTCGGTAGCTGTGGTGTCTGTGGTTATAACAGGACAATGCGGCTGATCTATTATGTCGTCATGTTACACAGTGAGGTGAAGATGTGCAGTGTGTGGGGCTGCAGAGAGCAGTTGTACACTATTTTATTGATACACTATATATATGCGGGTCATCATTTCAGCACTTTGGTTATTGCTGTTTCCCAAAGATTGTTTGACTTTTTTGCATTTTTTCTGTGTCAACATTTCAAAGAAACAACAGAGATATTTGTCTGAATGAGGTTCATTGAATGCACATTTGCTGGTATCACACATGGCAGTCTGTTTGCTTTGTGTGGTCACTGAAATAGGAAAAAGTCCTGGCTGTATATTCAATATCTTAACAGTTGATTCTTCTGTGTCGTAGACATTCTAAAGTAGAAGATGATGTGATACCTCTTGACGTAGCCAATGACACAAATTTTAGCCCATTTACAACCTTCAGAAGAGAAGTGCCTCACTTGTTTGAATTAATGGCCTTGATTTATCTTTTTTTTTTTGTCCTCTTAACATTTGTCTCCACAGGCTGATCAAAAAATCAAATGAAACAATGTGACTGGATTGTATCAGTGACAGCTCTCATGCATGGTGTTTACTACAGAGGTCATTTAGGAGAGAGGGTAAAACAGCATTTAACAAAATGTTATAGAATTTGCAAACTTCTAAGATTCTTATCTCTATATGTCATGTCTATCAGGACATACGGAAAAATGATCTTTATTTCAACTTTTCTTTGAGCTACTGAGTCAAAACTAGTCTAAATACATCTGTACACGTTCTGAATAGAGTTCAACTATGAATCCTAATTATCATAAATAAGTTTGAGATTATGTCACTAAATAAGAAATTATGAGTATATTTGGAAATACAATTTTTGAAATTATTTTACTCAGTCTTCATCTGGTTTTGCATGGAAGGAAAAAATGACATTCCAGGAATGTATTTACAATTATTTATTGCAGACAAAATGGACTTGGAAGCTGATTTACCAGTTTGTTGAGATGCCCTCTAACTTTGCTCTGTAGTGGACATCATCCATCCAAAGGGTTGATCTTGTGTCTCCATTTGCTCCATTGAGGTGCACCTGCTGATTATGTTGTCGTGCCACAAACACCCAGATTTTCTCCCAGCTTGTTTTGATGTTTGGGATTTCAACATAACTCATTTCACACATGGGAAAATCTGAGAAGCAACATCAGGGAGTGTTAAGATGTCTTTTTTTTTTCCTCCGCATTGTTTGCTTTTAAGACTGAAAGCTTGACTTGACTCTTCTGTTCTTTCTGCTGTTGTGTATGCTTAGTGATCTGTATTGCAGAGGGCTGAAGTGTAATGCTTTTGCTAATAGTTTGCCCTCAGGGCTTTATACTAGAAAGCTTTTCTGGCATCTACTTCAGTTTTCAACTGCAGTTTGGTGAAGTTTAGGTTGTTAGGTGACTTATGTTTAGGAACAGAACATCCTTTCACTACATAAACCTCATGCAAAGGTTTTCTGACAGAAACTTCTCCCATGTGCAAGTGATCTCATGTATTTAGAAAGACCCTTGTGATTATTGTGGTTATTACTTGTACTCTCTGGTTCAGCCTCCTTTTGTACATCAGTATTTAATAGCATATTTAAAAAGAACTGAAATAAGGACTAGGTGGACTATGAGCTCACAATATGTGCATTTGCAACAATGTATTTGATTATCTCGTTATATTATATATGTGCACAAAGTAAAACTTTTTAATCATACAACACACAACAGTGTTACCGATATTATATTGGACACAAATAAATAATAATCAGTGCAAAGGATTGCGTGAATGATGTTTTTTTTGGTTGAGGGAAAAATTCTAGAGAAACGTGAAAGGTCAAATACAATGTATAGATAATAATCCTCTTCATTCACACAGTGTGGTAATACCTAGAGCTTCTGTGTTGACTGCCGTAGAGGTCCGATGGCACATCCACATAATATGCTATTTACAGAGCTGAACGTGTAGTCTTGTTGGCTTGACATTAGATTTGCCATTGGCTTCAGCAAACTCTTACAGTGAGACCCGTTTGCGAAGAAAAAAATATCACGTAAATGTTAGCATTCGTAGCCACAGTGGCCACTGTTCAACCAAACTTGTACACACTCTATAGATCTCTGCAAATGCTGTCTACTGTAGAGTGAGCGATGTTCACTACACTGCACATAATATGAGGCAACTGTGGACCAGGTGAGTTTGTCCACTTATTGGAAGTTCGTGATTCGATCTGCAAGTGTTCCGTGAATTAGCAAATTCCCTCTGATAGCTGTGTCATCAGTGTATCAATAGGATGTGATACAGGAGCGCTGTGTGAGCGTGATCTGTAGTGTGAAGTGCGTTGGGTGTTTTTTAAATTAACAAACCTACATACAGCCCATTTACCAATTCAAGCTTAACATGGATGGAAGGAGAAATCAATGTAGTTTGACAAGAGGGCTGTAGAAGAAATTCACGGGGTCAATAAAACCACAAGGGCAAAATCAAAGATTATTTCGACCATGAATTTTACCATGGGAACTTCAATATGGTTATTTGCCAGCACTTATTTCACCAGTTAACACTTCAGCATGATGCAGTCAAGTTTAACATGACAACACACTGCAGTGACAGTGACAATCATATAGGTGTAGCGTCACTAAAACCCTGATGATTTAACAAGAAACATCTAACAATGTTAAATGTGTTCAAACAGACTATAATGTAGAACCCGGTCAATCAAACCTGAGTTAAGACCTTTCATATACAGTCAAAAGACTGGATTTTTGTCTGGAGTCTCCCATACACCATTACAGTATAATAATATGTATATATGATCTTAGGGTGCATGTTCTGACATGGTTAACTTTTTTTTATTACAAATTCAACAGGCAAAACCATTTACAACATCAACAATGTAAGATAAAGAAAAGGTTAAATATACATAAATATGCACGAACAAAAATCGTAAGTGAGACAATTAAAAAATAGAATTCATCTTAAGAAAAATGAATAAATCAAATGGAGTTTGATGAAATGATTTTAGAAAAATTCTCATTTTCTCTCGGTAATGAGACCAAATGTAATTTTACAAAAGGTTAAAGCTGGCAGCGATCCACATGATGAGACTCAGTATGAACCATGCTCAGTCTACTGGGTGCATTGTCGTCAGGCACCTCGTGGTGGCGGTAACGCTCCGCTCAACCTGTAGGAGAATCAGAAGAAGCGGAGTAAAAGGTTGTTCTTCCGCTTCCGGGTCAAACTGTCTTCACAAGTAGCCACAATGTTGACCCGACTGTCACGGCTCGGCCCTGCTCTCCCCCGGTTACTCGCTCGTCCGCCGGCTCGGTTCGTCTCTCAGTCCAAACCGAGCGGTGCCGCCGGTTCTCCCGCCGTGACGGAGCTGCACCCCGCGGTGGACCAGGGTGGACACGGCGAGGTCAGCCAGTACGTCAAGGTGAGTCCCTCTCAGCTCCTCTCCATGAAGTGTGTGGGACACAGGCTGACATGTACACAATGCTTCCCCAGCTGACACGCACCATATTCGGTCACACTGCACAGCACAGGGCCGCTGCATCTCTGTGGCTGTTGAGTCAAACGGCTGAAATAATGTGTGAGAACGTCTCATGTGCACACACTCACTCTGATCCCAGGACGTTTACCAGCATTCAGTGTGTGTTTGATATTACTCTTTTCTGAAACTGAGCCTATAAATGAAGAAAAACAAATAACCTTGGCCTGGTAGCTTTTCAACACAGTCCTAGAATGAACTCAAACTGTGGGTAGACATGCTGTTTGAGCCAATGATGTCCTCCTACAGTCATACATGGCTGGAGTTCGGTGGAGGACAGTGAAGACAGCAGTCCTTGTGTACTCTGTGTATATACTGGTCATGGTACAGCACTTCTGATCAGAGCTGGAGCCTCCATCCTTCATGAATGTGGGGAGGCCCAGTGGTCGACAGTTCACAGGGAGAGACTAACATGCACTAACATGAACACGTTCCTGAATCAGCCACCAAAACAAAGAACAGAACACACAGAGGGACTTCACCCTCTGCTCAGGACACTCAGTCACTCCACTGTATCTTTACACAGAAGACTCTGTTTGGCCGCTGTATCTATGTTTATAGTCTCACAGATAAAACATTTAACGTACAAAAAATACTTTTTGAATAGAGGAGTTGAAAGTGACTGTAATTAACAAGGCTCACACATTAAAGTAAGTTCACAAATGAAATTATTGTCACAATAGTCTTCACTGTCTCCCCTTAAATATGCTGTTCAGGTAAAAAGAGGTTAAAGAGCATCAGCAAATCCACATATGATAGTTAGATAAACATACCTTATTGATCCCAATTTGGGAAATGATTGTATCACAGCAGCAGTTGAAGAGCATTTCACAAAGAGTAAAGAACAAGAAGCTAAATACAAGAGACGACAAAAGAGACAAGGTGCAAAAATTGCTGTATTTGTTTGGACTAAAGTAATATATATGGCTATAATCTGTGCAGTAAAAATATATATCAATATAATATGTGCAAAAGAAAATAAATAAATGAGTGTATTGTTAAGGGCCCAAAAAGTGCAGCATCAAGTTTGGTGCAATTTGAACACACTTTTAATAACCACATGACCAGCACTCTGTAGCAGCGGTGTCTGGGACTAATCAGCGCAAGTGACATTGTCAATCACAACACAACAGCCCATCATGACAACAACTGATCTTCCAGTTTGGGGTTCTGCATGCAGACTCAAGTTTAGCTTTGAATACAGTCTGCAGGTCACTTTACTGTTTCACAAAGAAAGCTGCATCTGTAGGATTTTCCCCATATCTTTATCCAAGAGCGTGAACTTTCAGTTTGAAAGCAGAAATGCTTCCACTCAAAACCCTGCACTCACAACATTTTTCCAGAAGTGCGGAATCAATAAATCAATGAATATCTGCAGCTTTAATATATTTTCCAAATGAAATCTCAAAGTGGTGTCTGCAAGTGTGCAGACTTAATGAATTGTGGCTGAGGTCAGCACTCTCAGGGGGGGGGGCCTTGTTTGCACTTGCAGCTTCCACCATTGGAAATGATCTCGACAGACCAATTGTTGGACCATCTTCATTCTGCTGTGTTTAAACTCTAATCACATGTCTAACAACAACTACACAGATAGTATTTGTGAGTAGAAGTGAATTTGGATTTGAGTAAAGGGAAACTACTTTTATTATTTATTATTCTCTCCCAGCAGATTTGTGTGGGGGGTCAGGGGGGTGCAGACTGCAACAGTCAGCCTGTGATAGAGTGTCTTATTTCATTATAAAGTAGATACGAAAGTTGGAGTTTTAAGCTCAGCCTGTAGTCATGGCATAAAGCCTCTTCGTTCTCACAGGCTGAAATGTGTTGCTCTGTTTTTTTGTCAGAATCCAGATTACCATGGCTTCTCCAGTGATCCTGTGGTGGATGTGTGGAATATGAGGGTGGCCTTCTTCTTTGGCATCTCAGTGACTCTTGTGATCGGAGCAGCATTTGTCCACTATTTACCAGACCATGGGTGAGTCTCCCATTCGTTGTGTTATCGTATCTTCTGTTATATTTCCCATGCCACAAGGGTAGTAGTGACAACTGAGGTTTCCACTCAGGACAGAGGAAAGATCTCGTGCTTTTCTTTTAGTTATGTTTTTGCATATCAGCTAACTGTACAGATTTCAAAGCAGTCTAACATAATATAGAATAAATATGTAA